ACTGCTTAGTGTTTTAGCTAAGAGTACCCGATTAATTCTCACATAGAAACACTTTGTGTAGAGCTTTAAGCATCAGACACTGTTCTGACCCATAGCGACCCTGTATAGGGTTTCCAAGGAGCAGCTGGTGAGCTTGAAGCACCAACCTTGTGGTTCAAATGACTTTGCAGTCTGATGCATTAGCCCACAGCAAAATGCTGAGGAAACAAAACAGGCAAAGGAAGAGTAATGGCAGAATTTAGGGTCACAGGGAAGCACCCCTGCTTCCTGTCTAAATATGCATCATTTGACACTGTGTTCCCAAAGTATGCTTTGGAGCATTTCCACCCTGAGGTCCACACATCACCCTATTCTGGGGTTCCCTACCCTATGGGAACACTCATATTCCTGGCAGGCCAATCTTGGGCTCTTTTCTCATCTTTACACATTAGCTCTAAGGAGTGTGGTTAATGGGACAGGTTTCAGGAGCAATGAGTACAGAATGAATAGGAGGAGCAGGTGAACATTCTAGAGATATCCTTTTGGGCAGAGAATGAGTTTTCTCGAGCTGACTCCAACTCATGGTAACCCAATGTGTGTCCGAGGAGAACTGTGCTCCACAGGGTTCTCAGTGTCTGATTTTCATTAAAATGTCCACTCATGGTGTCGTTGCGTGTGTCAGAGTAGAACTGTGCTCCAAAGATTTTTCAGTGGATGATTTTTCATAAGTGGATTCACTCATGACATGCCTTCATGTGTCAGAGGATAACTACTCCACAGGCTTCTCAATGGTTGATTTTTCAGATGTAGATTCCATACATGGTCCCCCTACGTGTGTCAAAGGAGAATTGTGCTCCATGGGGTTCTCAGTGACTGATTTTTAATTTTTAAAGTTTTTATTGTGCAATGAGTGATAGTTTACATGGGAGAATATCAGTTTTACACTCAAGCTATTCTATTTTATTTCATTGCAATGATTACAATCCTCTCCATGCACCATCATTCAATAGTATTTGCTTCATTCCCTCTGTGTGTGGTTTTTTTTGGATGTGCACCAAAACACTCAGGAATATATAATAATATAAGCAACCAAAAGACACATTCTGCAAGCATGCCTCTGGACTGCCAGCACACAGCCTTTCTCTTTCCATGAGTCTATCTCTTCATGTTACCATCTCTGGTGTCATTGACTGATTTTTCCATAGATTCCACTCTTGGTGCCTTCATGTGCGTCAGAGTAGAACTGAGTTCCACAGGGTTTTCAGTCACTGATTTTTCAGAAATAGATCACCAGTTCTTCTTTCTTAGTTCCCTCTGGATAAACTCAAACTTGTTCAGCAATTGAGCATGTTAACCGTTTGTACTCAGGGGCTTCTTGGCAGAATCTCTTTAGGTACAAATAGGAGAGTCTCCTTGTACCTGGCTGAAGCAGCTTCACACACTGGACAAGCCCTTCCCTGGGGGGCCAGTTATCTGTCCACCATGGTTGAAGACAACTTTAGTTTACCTAGACTTATTTGTGGTTATGTGCCGTAGAGTCCATTCTGACTCATGGCGACCCTGTACACGGTTTCTGAGGCTGTAAATCTTTACATGAGCAGAAAGCCTCATCTATCTCCTGCGGAACAGCTGGTAGTTTTGAACTGCTGACCTTAAGGTTCACAGCCCGATTTGTAAGCTCTATGATAATAAATTTATATTAATAAACCTGAGAATTATCATTTGTTTTATATTTTAGTCCTCCATTCAGAGATCCTTTGTCATGTGCCCAGCATTTGTTTTTCATAAGCAATTCCTTGGGATTGCAATTGCTCAGAACCCATGAAATGTTTAGTGACCAGTTTCTTCCATATAGCTCACTCCACCTAGTGCCTCAGTGGATATACACTGCCATCAAGTAGATTCCAACTCATAAAGACCCCACAAGACAGAATAGACCTGCCCCCCCAGGGTGTCGAAGGCTGTCAGTCTTGATGGGGGAAGACAGTGTGATTTTTCTCCTGTGGAATGGCTGGTGTGTTTGAACCATGGACCTTTTGGTTCGCAGTCCAACAAAAGTTGATACTATTGATGAATAAGAGAAGATTTCTCTTTTAAAGAATCTAGGGGCATCTATGTCTTAAGAGGAAGTGAGAGGGAGATTGTTGGGGGCAAAAGTTTTCTAGTAAAGGGGGAGATGCATTTAGCAGGAACAGTTCTGTTCACTCATCTTCTAGAGTAGTGTCTGAAGTTAAGCCTTATGCTTTAAAGATGATGTTTGACAAAAATCTTCTGCTTTTATTCTCATTTTGTGGCTAATCTAAGAATCCTGGCAGCATACACTTCAATGCTCTACTCTGTCCTTAGGTCTTTATAAGTTGGAATCGACTTGGTGGCAGTGAGTATAAACTGAGGCACCATGAGGAGTGTGAGCCATTTTGAGAGAAAGATCTGGTGACCTTGCTAAAGAGCATTGCTGTGTACCATCAAGTTGATTGTAAGCCATCGTATCCCACATGGTGGAGTAGGATAGTCCCTTAGGGTTTCTGTCGTAAGTTGGGATCTTTATAGAAGAAAGCCTAGAGGCACAGTGGTTAAATGCTCAGCTACTAACGAAATAGTCTGGGATTCTAGCCCACCAGCTGCTCCACAGGAGAAAGATGAGGTAGTCTTCTTCTGTAAAGATTTGGAAACCCCACAGGCAGTTCTACTCTGTCACATGGGGTCGCTCTGAGTAAGAATTGACTTGATGCCACTCAACAACAATATAGCTGGTCTAGCATGTAGTATCTGGTATCAAAAAGATTTTCAGTACACTTTAGGAGTCCTGGTTGGCACAGTGGGTTAAGTGTTGGACTGCGAGTCTAAAGGTTGGTGGTTCGAACCTACAAGATGCCCTTTGGGAGGAAGATGGGGCAGTCTGCTTCTGTAAAGAGTTATGGTCTT